GGTTTTATACCATTTCTATAGTTATAGTAATTTAGTAATTGACATAAAATGCATGAAATACTGATCATTAAGGTTATTATACTATAAAACACTGGAATGCCTAATATATGCCCGAAATCACCCAATATTGTATACAATAGTTGTGAACATTGTTTGTTAAGTAAATGTAAAATAATTATTATTAAACATTTAATAAATTGTTGAACAAATATAATGAAAACAACAAATGGATGAAACATTAAATGTCTTTTTGGACTGAATTTTGGTTGAAATAGTGATAAACCAATTGAGTGGAGATAACTGTCAGCAACCCTTACCCTCCACTCAGGGGGGTATGGGTTCACTTAAATCTATATTATGAGCCGTATCTGAAAGTAACTTATATATAGTTATATATTTATGACAATAATATTTTGTAGACTTTAACTTATAAAACTGTATTCTGAAAGTATAGACCAAATACTGTACATTTAATAGTGATATTCAACATCTGAAAGAATAATTTTATTGAAAAAATAAAACTTAATTATCTCGTCAATTATCTATTGATACATATTTATAGATGAATAGCGTTTTCTAATAAGAGCTGTTGTCCCTAACATTTTATTAGCATTTCAGTCCTTATTTCACAATTTAATTAATATATTAAAATAAGTGGAAATTACAAATAATTTGTACTATTATCAATAGTATCATAATTATAATTGTACTATTATCATCACCATAATTACAATTACCATAATTACCATAATTACAATTGTATCAATTTGTACTATTATCATCATAATGGATAAAAAATATAAGGTTATACTCAAAATGATCCTTACATTATCAAGAAAATTATAAAAATAATGAGAAATGGTGGTGTGGGAAGGGGGTCGGTAGGCCTGCGAAGGAGCTTTATAACCGACTATCAATAGTAAAACCCTATAGACTTGTAGTGAATGTCAGAATCCGTTGGACGCTATATATATGAGATTCTTAATGGAGTGATAACCACAACAAAACATAAACACCTCCTGAATTTCACCCCCATATCAACCTCATATCAACCCTGGTGACTATTTTTATAATTTTCTTTGTAATGTAAGGTTCATTTTGAGTATAATTTTACATTTGATATCCATTATGATGATAATAGTATGAATTGTAAGTGTAATAAATGTTTATTATGTGCATTCTAGTATAAATTAATAAAATACTTATTAAGTACAATATGAATAAAATAAAATAATTTTTGGAAACATCATAATTATATATCTATGACAATAATATTAATATTTGCAGACTATTAAGTGGAAAAGTTTTGCAATAAATGACAAAATACATTCAATAATGCCAGTTGATATTAAAATAAATAATTTCTTTGAAAACAGATAAATTGAATTCATTCGTGAATTTTCTAATTATAAAGTATTCAAATATAATTACAAATATAAAATGTTATAGTACGAGGTTCACATTTGAACTTTACTTTAAGCACTAATTCAATACACTTATTTCAAGAAAACATCAAGTAACTTACACATAAAATTATTTTTTGTTAAACAAATATCATTTCACAAAGCTCCCTTAAATGTGATTAGTGTTTAATTTTATTTGTAATTTTGAGCAATAATAATTTAGAATAAGCATTATTAATTATTGAAATCATTATTATTAATACACAATAAACTACTTTCTAAATTAAATTCTTAAAACTACCACAAAGAGGCTATAATTAGACAACAAATGACACCAAATAGTAAACCCTTATCCCAGGTACCAGTGCGAGGTTGCTGTGGTTTGACTGGATATCTAGTGCCCAATGGGGCCGTTATTCTGTACTCAAACTCCAATATAGCATTCCTGGCCCCCGACCACTCATGGGGTCCTAGTTTGAGCACAAACAATAAGTATGATTCAAATATTAAACCTCCACATTATAATGTTAATTAATTATGTGTAAAAGTAAAAATGCTAAATGTATAAAACAAATGTGAAATACCATACAATCTGTACTCATAGGGAAGCATTGGTCCGAATACGAGAGTTCGCCAAAACTGGTTATCCCTAAAGAAATACTTCCAGAGATTAGGCTTTACTCCCAATTGGACGGCGATGTCGTCCAAGTAGTCAATTCAATTGGTCTCCAACTCGTGTCGATCGGAGTCCACAAATTGTATCCTCTTTTCTTCATAGATCTCTATATCGGCCGACATGACCTCCCGGGAGGGGAGTCTAGACTTTTTAGCCATGAGTTGGGCGAACAAACGCGCCTGGATCTCACTCAACGGGAATAGAGTTCCCAACGGTTGCACCAGTCCTATGAATGCCAGGCTATGGGGTGTCGGTGCTCGTGAGGGAACATTAGTTTATAGAGTTGTATACGATTTCCATCGACACGTATAATCTTCGGCGAGAGGAATGGAAACCACAGCTTATATCCGGTGGACAGTAGGACCGCATCGCACGGGGTTTCACTCGTTTCCCCTAAATGTGAACATAATGTTTGAAAACATTGTGAAAGTTATTCAATACTTTTCTACTCAACACTTAAAATCTATAATAATAATAATAAGTGAATAATTGAAAACATTTTATTTCATTGTCTATTAATATTTGTCTTAATTGTATTAAATATATTGAGAAATGTTCCCAAAAATTACCCTCAAATATGACACCATTGGCAGTGAACCGGTCGATATTGCCTTTGATAGATATGGCACCGTATGTATGCAAAGGGGCAGGTATTCACTGACGAGCGTGTGTTGAGATAGGAACCGGTGTTTGGGTTTCAATTGAAACATGTCGACATCCATATGGAAAATAGCACTGATCAATTCAATTATATAGGAAAATAGTTTGCGTACCTTCTGACATATGCGAGACAACTCGACACTGGCGTCACCGCCTGAATGGCCCACTCCTACGACAACCACACGTTTACCCGCATAACCGTCCGGTTCTCTATACCCCTGCGAGTGGACTATTTCATCCCGGAATAGGTGCTGATCCGGGAGTGTAGGCATTAGTGGTTTGCCGTGATGTCCGGTGCACACCATTACCCCATCGAACACCTCCTCACTCACAGCTCCCTCGTTGTTGTTATCTCTAACCGTCACTCTCCACCTCCCGGTGCTCTCGTAGTCGTGGTTATGCTCGACCCGCACCACATCGTGCCTATACTTCACGTACTTCTCGAAGTAAATGTTTTACAATAGGAGTCCAAGTATTCAAACTAATCGTATAAATTGTATAAATTAATTAACAAGGTAATTATTTTCGATTCAGTACGTACAACAGAAAAAGTTATTTTATTAAATCAAGCACTTTATTCATACAACATGTTTTGAACGTACATATTAAATAACGCCTGACCCGTACGTATCATTTTGGTGTTATGCAACATAATTGATTAACTAGTGGATTTGCATTACAGTGTCACAAAAATCAATTGCATTAAACGCACGTATTTTTATTAATACAGTAATAAACTGATTACAAGTAATTATAATAGTAAATACAATTGATAATTTTTAAAATTAAATTAGAAATTTTCAATTTTGACATAATACAACATTTCAAACAACTTCAAAATAGTATAAAATTTTTATATTCATAGAAAATAATCAAAATCTAAACATGACACAAAATTACATCAACAGCTGAACAATAAGTATATATAAATAGACAAATTTACAGCAATACTCGTAAAACTCATAGGTATTCATAGGGAATAAATCGAGACAATAGTAGCCAATGTCGGCGCCGGACAGTAGCTCAATAAAGGCCTGTATTTTTAATCTACATCTCAACGTGGGTTTAGTGTCCAGAATAAATGTAAGCAAATATGGGCGACAATTGTGTACACTATTGGTGACTGAAGCACACATTAATGTCAAACTAAACAAACAGACCGTGAATTGTATCCATAAAAAGGTGAACAAAATTCTGGCGTAAAAACTCGTATGACTTTCGTGTGATAAGTATATCATGAGATCGATAGCTGGGGTCACCAACACGTATAACATAAATAATACACCTTTATCGGCGTTATTTTGTGAATAAATGTTTTGAACCACACTATAGTGCTTGGTGATAGTTTGCATGAATTGGTATGTATTATGAGTTTTTAAATTATGCATAAATTGTTCATGAATTTCGCGTAACTGGTACTTAATGTACGTCATGGACAGTAGCCAGTACACTGAGCCGGCAAACACCAAGCTAAACATTTGATAGGAAAAGCTGAGGGTAACCAGTGACCAGAATATGGACAATACGATAGGGCAGTCGCTCTCGTGGTTTAGATATGAGGTTAGTGTCGACCACAATAATAGTGACGTGAATATGAGAAACATTGGTATAAATAGTTTGTTCACCAGATATCTGGTCAACACGTTTGCAAAGTTACCAAATCGGCGCTCATTTGCCTCGTTTAAGGGCTGTCCGATTGTGTGGTCCTTAATGTGGTTCATGAACGCGATTGTGTGGTGACTACCCGTCCACTCCATATAGTTAGTGATGGCCGCGATTGAAAACACCAGAAGCCCGATGAGACTAAACAAGGCTGATATGAGCCGGGAGTTGCCCAATAAGTAGTTGGAGTTGTCCAGTAGGGTCCGCGTACCGGTGCTGTCACATATGGCTGATAAGGCATATCGCAAGGCAAATACCAGTGCACTTAGTCTTAGGATAATTGCAATAATTATACGCTTTCTGTTTATCCGACGATTGATGTAGTCGTTTGAGTTAAGTGTAATAAAAAAGTAGGTTTTTGCACAAAACTTATCCAGTTCCTCCAGTCCCTCACTCGTAGTAACATTGATTTTGCTTTGAAAATAATTTTTGGATTTTTTATACATTTTTATGAAATCCAAAAATGTTATAATGCTATTTCGAAACATTACTGTATATCTATGGAAAAAATGTAATACATATACCAAATGTATTTTCATTCAATTGTTTATTTATTAGTTTAATTAAATATGAGTTTAATTAAACTTATTTACAAACATGTGGTGAATATTCTGTGAAAATACATAAGTTAAAAAAAATTAATTTGAATTTTATTTATTCACGAATTATATGCAAATAAATTTATTTATTTATAAAATTGATAGCGTGTGTGTAATTTGCATGCTACTTAACATACTAGTATGCATATAATAATTGCAATATAAGTATTTCATATATTATTAGACCAAAAAGCAAATGTTTAATTTTAACAATTGTTATCATTATTAAAATATTTAATATATAATATAATGTACTTTGTGCTTGTGTGCAAATATTATGTTATATTTAATATTCATAAGTTATTTATAATTCAAGCGAATAATATTATTGAAAATATAGGAATAAAACACAAATATAATTATGTAAATTAAAAAACAAACTTATTATGCAAAATATTTCCAAAAATAGCCTTACCCTTCAATATAATTCCTAATAAAAGTAACAAACAATAAATATTTTTTATTGACATAACAAATAAAAATTATGATTTCGTAAAATATATTTAAAACCGTAACATATTATTACGGAAAAATTTTGTAATATTTGTTCAGGCATACCGTTATAAAATAATCAATTACTATGCTCAACCGGTACTAACTTTTGAAGTAAACAATTTATCACTCATTTTCTATTCATACAATGTGTTTGTTTGATCCTGGCTACAAAACTATAAATACTGACTGGGTCCTTGATTTTCCTTATCAAAAGCATTATTTAAAAAGTTTGTGATTTTTCTAGAATACAAATATTTTGCATTATTTCAAGTTTATTATGGACACCACTCACAGCAAAATGATTTTGTGTTTATTTATTTGCCTATTATTTGTGGCATTAATTGAGGCCCAGTATGGTATGTGTTTAATATTATATTTGAGTATTATACAGTATATTAATAAGTATATTTTTAATTAGGTTATGGAGGTTATGGAGGTTATGGAGGATATAACGGGTATTATCCGTACGGCAGATATAATGGATACTCGAGGTATGGCATGTATGGCAGACAAATGTGGCCGGGATATGGCAGTTATAATGGCTATGGTTATGGCAATAATTATGGTTTAACTGGCTATTAGTATACAGCGTAAACACAATACACACAAAATAAGTCATTGGGACTGTACTGTAAGGATTGAAAATAATATTTTAATAATAATGAATCATTATTAATGACTATTTAACTATAAAATTCATTATAATTAAAATGAATTGTTTTGCGAAATCAATTTGTGTCATAAATACAGATTTCTATTTATTACTATTTACTCATATTTATTGTATTTTATTATGCTATTTATTTTGTTATATAAAATAAATAATAATTTTTTAATCTAATTCCGATTATGAATGAATTGATTATGTTTTTGTAAAACTGTACATTGATCACTTATTTATAAAACAAATATCACATTATGTTTAAAAATAAGTTAATACAAAATATAGTGTTTTATTAAAACAATACTTCCAAACATTGAATATAATCTTCAATAAAATCGCATCAAAAACATTTTCACATCATTTCATTTGTACACATATTATGAGAATAAAAATCTTGTTTTCAAAATGAATATGAATTTTTAAATAAGCTATTAATCTAATAATAAAGTAATTAATAGTAATGAATATTGCCATTTATTGCAAAATGCAAGCTTATTTACTGAAAAATCTTAATAGCTTTACAATATAATAATATACTATATTTTTGTAATTAGTATTACGAGTAATGTTTAGATGACTTAATCGTAATGATTATTATAGAGCATTTATCATTAAAACATATTTTTAACATCAATTTTGTCTATTAAATAAAATTTTATATGTATTCAGTCGATAGCCATGAAAATGACAATAAAAATGTATAATCATATAATTACAGTAAAAAATAGTGAATTTAGTTGATATCATAAACAAAATAGTCATTAAGTTCTTAAAAATATTTCTTAAATATATTGATTTATGAAAAAATATTCATTGCTAAAATGTAATGCTAGATCACTTTGTTTTGCTTAAATAATATAATAATTTGCATCTCAAAAGTGAATTTAAAAGCCATTTAAAAGTAAATAATAAAATGTCTAACAGTATAGATCTAAGTCAGCCCATACCCCCTGAATGGCGGGTTAGAGGGGCTGACAGTCATCTCCACTCAATTGGTTTATCATTATTTCAACCAAAATCTCATACAAACAGACGTCTACTCTATCATCCATTGCTTATATTTATACTATTATTTCAACA